TGAGGCCGAGAGCGGCCAGACACCGTCATGTGGCGCCGCGTGCAGGAGACCAAGATCCAACGCATTCGGCCCAGCGAGATCCGCTCTCTCCGCCATCTGGGCCAGCGCAGCCCATACGGTGGGGGCGTTCGTGAAGGAATATGCCTTGGATGCCGCAGGCCCTGGAGAATTCCTTCTATGATGAGGGCGACGGTGACAACCACGGCCAAGCCTCGAGTGGAATCTCACCCGCCTTCAGACCCTGGATTCCTGATCCAATGGTTTCTCATCAATTGCCCTCGCCGTCGCAGATGGCCATCCGTGTGTGCCTCGGGGGTGAGGTCTCCAAGCTGGTGGGTGCGGATGGAGGCCCCGCCGTGGAGCCGTGACGCCCTCCTAGCAAGGCCGGGGGCCGCGCGCAGGCAGGCCGCCTGCCCCAGATGCAGCCCCAGCCGGCCTCAACGGGCCCCCACCCCATTCGATGACGCGCAGGAGTGAGCCTTCGCCGGAGTGACCTTTGCTGCGGGCCCACTGGCGTTCTCCGATCGCTGCATGCGATGCGATGGCAGCGGCCTATGTGCTTGGGTCTGGCCCCCCACGCGCCCCCCTCCAGGCCGCGCACCAAAGGCCGCTTTTGCCCAGGGCCACTCCTGCGCGTAGCCGACCCATGGTTCAGGCAGGTGGGGTCGGACCAGAAGGGGTGTGGGCTTCTGACGCCTCAAGATGGCTCCAAGACAGCAGCTCAACAGAGCCCCGAGAGGGCCCCGAGAGGGATCTGTTCGGCCTCCGACGAGAGGGCCGTGACTAGTTATCCACCCCCTCTTCTTTGAGTACTGGCCTCGAAGATGGCCCCTCAGAGGGCCTCCAAGGCCCCCAGAGGGCCCCAAGAGAGCGCCAAAGGTATCCCAAATGGCCCCCCCACATGGTCCCAAGATGGCCCAATTAAGCTGCCAAGAGGCTCCCATACCAAATGATCCGCGCAGGCATTTATTCAAGTGGCTTACGCCATTACGTCAACCCCCAGAAGCAATCAGAGCTAGCGACGATCGTGGGAGTTATCGAAGACGCCTACGGCGAGTCACCGCCGCCCCCTGCCCTTTCGGAAGCGCCTATGTGGCCGAACGTTGAGGCCAGAGCCCTGCCAAGCTATCGGACCATGTGTTCCCCGAATCAGTTTGGAAAGCCTTCGGGGAACACGTGGGGAAGGACGGGGAAGAGGAGGAGAGTGAGCCGTCATGGGGTCATCTAGGAACCTTTAGGGCGATCTTGGGCGATCCTAAGGGGTCTCTTGGGGGCCGTCTTGGACCGTCGAAGGGCCAACAGGAGCACATGCCAAAATCTCTCAAAAACTTCAGGACAAGCAATTATTTGGCTTCTTCGGGCCCTCCTGGAGGACGTCTTGGAGGCCTTTTGGGCCGTCTTGGAGGCCTCTTGCGGGCCTTTTGGGCCGCCTTAGGCCACCTTGAGCCGTCTTGGGTGCATCTTGGAGCCATCGTAACCGTCTTGGAAGCCCTCTTGGCCGTCTTGGAGGCATCTTGGATGCCATCTTGGACGTCTTGGAGGCCATCTTGGGCGTCTGGGAAGCCTCTTAGGCCGTCTTGGGGCCTTCTTGGGGCCCTCTTGGAGGCCTCTTGGGCTGTCATGGGGCCATCTTGGAGGCCTCTCGGGCTCTCTTGAACGATGTTGTGGGGCCTCTTGGGTCGTCTTGGGCCGTCGGAGAGCTGAAACGAAGAACATGCCAAAATCCTTCAACGACCAATGGAAGCTCAATGATTTTCGCTCTTTCGGGCTTCCTGGAGGATGTCTTGAAGAGCTCTGGGGCCGTCCTGGAGGCCTCTTGCGGACCTTTTCGGCCGTCGTAGACTATCTTGAGGCCATCTTTGGCCGTCTTGGGTGCACCTTGGAGCGATTTTAGCCGTCTTGGAGGCCATCTTGACCGCCTTGGAGGCATCTTGGATGTCATCTTGGACGTCTTGGAGGCCATCTTGGGCGTCTTGGGGGCCTCTTGGGCCGTTTTGGGGCCTTCTGGGGGCCCTCTTGGAGGCCTCTTGGGCTGTCATGAGACCATTTTGGAGGCCTCTTGGGCGCTCTTGGGGCGATGTTGAGGGCCTCTTGGGCCGTCTGGGGCTGTCGGAGATCTGAAAAGAAGAAAGTGCAATAACCATTCAAAAACCAAAGACGTCACTGATTTTGACCCTTTCGGGCCTTCCTGGAGGACGTCTTGGGGAGCTCTTGGGCCGTCTTGGAGGTCCCGTCTTGGAGGTCTCTTGCGTGTCTTTGGGTCCGTCTTAGACCATCCTGAGGCCATCTTGGGCCGTCTTGGGTGCATCTTGGAGCCATCGTAGCCGTCTTGGAGGCCATGCTTGCAGTCTTGAAGGCATCTTGGAGGCAATCTTGGCCATCTTGGATGCCATCTTGGGCGTCTTGGGGGCCTTGTGGGCCGTCTTGCGGCCTTCTTGGGGCCCTCATGGGGGCCTCTTGGGCTGTCATGGGGCCATCATGGAGGCCTCTTGGGCGCTCTTGGGGCGATGTTGGGGGCCTCTTTGGCCGTGTTGGGCCGTCGGAGAGCTGAAAAGAAGAATATGTAACAATCCTTCAAAATCCAAAGGAGCATCAATGATTTGTCCCCTTGCGGACTTGCGGGCCTTCCTGTGGGCCGTCTCAGACCATGTTGAGGCCATCTGGGGCCGTCTTGGGTGCATCTTGGGACCATCTTAGCCGTCTTGGAGGCCATCTTGGCCATCTTTGAGGCATCTTGGAGGCCATACTGGGCTATCTTGGCCGTCTTGGAGGCCATCGTAGGCCATCTTGGAGCAAGAAAGGCATTGGCAGACGGATATTCGGTAACCTTCCGGGACCCTGGCGGGCTGGGCCGAAGCCTCCAGGGGGAGTTCTTTTGGAGAAAGAACCAAAGCCCAAACCCAAAGGATCTAGCACGCCAGGCACTCCTGTGATGAATCAACAGGGCGCGGCTGATCGAAGACGCCTACGGCGAATCACCGCCGCCCCCTGCCTTTTTGGAAGCGCCTATGTGGCCGAACGTTGAGGCCGGACCTGCCAAGCTATCGGACCACGTGTTCCCCGAATCGGTTTGGAAAGCCTTCGGGGAACACGTGGGCATCCGTGGCATCTTCATCTTGGCCGTCTGGAGACCATTTTGACCCTTTCGGGCCTTCTTTGAGGACATCTCGGAGGGCTCTTGGACCGTCTTGGAGGCCATCTTGAGCGTCTTGGAGACCTCCTGGGCCGTCTTGGGGGCCTCTTGGGGCCGTGTCTTGGCCTCTTGGGCGATCTTTGGGGGCACTTGGGCCGTCTCGGGCCGTCGGAAGGCAGAAAAGAGCAAACGCCACAATCCTTCAAAAACCCATTGGAAATCAATGATTTTGGCCTTTTCGGGTCTTCCTGGGGGCCCTCTTGGAGGCCTCTTGGGCCATCTTAGGGCCATGTTCGGCCGTCTTGGTGGGCTCCTGGTCCGTCTGACGCCGTCGGAAGCCGTTTGGGGGGCCTCTATGGGCCGACTTGGGCCCCTTGGGCCCCTTGGAATGCTCCAGGGCCGTCTTGGAGGCCATCTTGGGCGTCTTAAAAGCCTCCTGTGCCGTCTTGGGGGCCTCTTGGGGCCGTCTTGGGGTCCTCTTGGGCCGTTTTGGGGCCGTCTTGGAGACCTCTTGGGCGATCTTTCGGCGATCTTTGGGGGCTCTTGGGCCGTCTCGGGCCGTCGGAAGGCCGAAAAGAAGCACATGCCAAAATCCGTCAAAAACCATAGGAAAATCAATGTCTTCGGCCTCTTCTGGCCTTCCTGGAGGCCCTCTTGGGGGCCTCTTGGGCCATCTTGGGCCAGCTTCGAGCCAACTTCGGCCATCTTGGTGGGTTCCTGGCACGTTTGACGCCGTCGGGAGCCGTCTTGGGGGCCTTTCTGGGCCGACTGGGGGCCCTCTTGGGGCGCTTCGGGGCCGTCTTGGAGGCCATCTTGGGCGTCTTGGAGGCCATCTTGGGCGTGTTGGAGGCCTCTTGGGCCGTCTTGGGGCCCTCTTGGGGCCGTCTTGGATGCCACTTGGGCCGTCATGGGGCTCTCTTGGGGGCCTCTTGGGCGATCTTGGGGGCCTCTTGGGCCGTCTTGAGCCGTCGGAATGTCGAGAAGAAGCAAATTCCAAAATCCTTCAAAAACCTAAGGACAATCAATGATTTTGGCCTCTTTGGGCCCTCCTGGAGGACCTCTTGGAGGCCTCTTGGGCCGTCTTGGAGGCCTCTGGGGGGCCTCTTGGGCCGTCTTGGGCCGTCTTGGACTCTCTTGGGCCGTCTTGGAGGCCGTCTTGGATCATCTTGGGCGGACTTGGAGGCATCTTGGAGGCCATCTTCGGCCATCTTGAGCGAAAAAGCCGACGAGATTGGGGAATTGAGCGTCTTCCGGGTGGCCGGCGGGACGGCCGAAGCCCCAGGGGGAGTTCTTTTGGAAAAAGAACCAAAACCTAGAGGGTTCAGCACGCCAGGCTCCCCTTTGCTAAAGCAAAAGGGGGCGGCGGATCGAGTGGCCTTCGGCCCAACCCGCCACCGTGCTTGGGCTGTGGGTCAGGAGCCTCTTGCATGAATATGCAGGTCTCTTGGGATGCCTCTCAAGGGCCTCTTGGTGGGTTCTTCGGTGCACTTGGGAAGCTTTTTGGGGCCTCTTGGGGGCCTCTTGGGGGCTTCTTGGGGGCGACTCGGGTGCCTCTCAGGGGCTCTTGGGGCCGTCTTTGGAAGAAAGGCTCGAAATTTCAGTTCGTGTTTCCCCTCTTGGGCTCTCTTGGGCCGTCTTGGGGGCCCCTGGGGCCGACTCACCCTCTTGGGCTGTCTTGGGGCCACCTTGGGGGCCTCATCGGCCGTCTCGTGACGATCTTGGGGGTCCCTTAGGCAGTCTGCGAAACTGTCAAGACGAACAAGGCGTGCGCGCGTGTGTGCGTGTGCGTGTGCGTGTGCGTGTGCGTGTGCGTGTGTGTGTGTATATATGTTTGTGTATGTTTGTTTGTTTGTTTGTTTGTTTGTTTGTTTGTTTGTTTGTTTGTTTGTTTGTGTGTGTGTATATGTGCTTTTGTTGTGTGTGTGTGTGTCAAAAATGGACGTTGCCTCAATTGGAATGGGGCGATTGTTGCCTCTTGGGGCCTTCTCGTCGGTCCTCTTGGAACGCTTGTGGGCTGTCTTGGGGGCCTTCTGGGCACTCCTTGAAGTCAACTTGGGTCGTCGTGGGGCCACTCTGGGCCGTCTCGACGCTCTCTTCGACTGTCCTGGCGCTCTGTCTGGGCCCTCTTGGAGCTTTTTGGAGGCTCCAGAGGCCCCAGGGGTGCGTTGGCGAGCTCGTACCCCCCTTCTAAAACAGCATTTTGGACCCCAGGGGAGGGGGAAATGGGGAGGGAGACAGCGAAATGTCTCTCACTCCCCTTTCCACCCCCGGCTAGTGGGGGACGACGGATTTTGACACCTCGGTCTGCTCAGGCTGATCCCGGGCACGGCATCTGCTACATGCAGCTGGCTTCGATCCCGCCGTGGGCGCATTCCCCGCACGGCCTCGAAGATAATCGCGCTTTGCGCGTCGCGGCCTCGGCCGGACAGCTGCCTCAGAATGGTTGCGCGACGATAACCGCTCGTCGCCCATCGCGGGGCGCGATGCGCGAAGACAGGTGACCTAGGTCCCTCGATGTGATACGACACTGGACGTCAGCTCATGGTATCGCATGTGGCCCCCAGCTCAGTTCGGCGCAGCCCTCATACAGATCGTACTCCATGCTTAGGTCGGCCGAGAGGGGATGACTGAGCAAGGCGGGGGTACGACATCTGCTGCGTGCAGCTTGGTTCGTCTCCGCCGCCACACCCTTTGCTCTACAGCTTGGCGCCCCCAGCGCCGGGAGGCGCTGGGGGAACCCTTGCTTCGAAAGCCACTTCGCTACCTCTCTGCTATCCCCCCCTTCGTCCGGCCCAGCGGACGTAGGGAGCCGAGCGCGCGGTTGCGCGCCTGCTCCGCGGCCGCCCATCCACATACCCCTAGACTCCGCCCCTCCCGCGGCAAGCAGCACATCATGAGGAGGGGGGCGCGCCCCGCTCTACACGCAGCTGCACAGGTGCACAGTGTTAGACAGTTCGCCAGGCTAGCCTGCCTTTTTCGGGCGGGGCTAGGACGAGGATTAACCCGTTCCAGAGCGTTACGGTACGCTCTCAGAGCGTGCTGGAACGCTCTGAGAATGCCGCGGCGCCCGAGACGGTGACGGCGATGGCGACGGCGACGGCGACGGCGACGACGAGGAGGAGGACGACGACGACGACGACGACGACGACGGCGACGGCGGCGACGACGACGACGACGACGACGTCGACGGTCCTCCAGGAGCTGCTCGGCGCCGCCACGGGGCGGCGCGTGTGCGCCTCCTATGCGGCCCGGCTGGCGCCGCCGCCGCGCAGTGTGAGGGGAGAGGGGGGGGGAGCATGACGAGGAGACGGGAGGGCGGGGGGAGGAGGAGGAGGAGGAGGAGGCAGGGGCGGGGGAAGCAAGGACTTAAGCAAGTGTGTCCTGGAACAGAGCAGTTTCAGGCCAACTTGCTAACGTTCATGGACGTACACCAGGAAGCTGCATGGTTCAGCATCTTCGAAGAGGGCGGTCTCTTGGTGGCTGCTTTGTACGTTGCCGTCCTTCTTAGGAGCCTTGCAACAACGAGTCCCTCCGTGGCGGTTTTACAAACCGACTTCCTTCGATTCCTTTCTGTGGCAGCCGCTGTGGCAGCCTTACAATAGGACTTTCTTCTGTGGCGGCCTTACAACAAGGATTTTCTTTTGCGGCCACATCACACAATATTTTTTGTGAGGCCTTACACAAAGAGTTCCTCATGTGTCGGCCATGCGAAAGGATTTCCTTTCGTGGCGGGCTTGCGTAACGATTTTCTTGTGGTGGACACATTCAGAAACCACTTGCCACATCAGAACATCTTTGCCACCTCTGAGAAAACGGTGGAACCAGTTGTGTTTGCAATCATTTCGGAGCCAGAGGCTAAAACCAGTGCGATCGCAATGCTTTCAATCATCGGATTTCCAAAGCGTTGAGAAACATTGTGTGTGCGTGTGTGTGTGTGTGTGTGTGTGTGTGTGTGTGTTTTCAGCAATCGGAGCAGTGTAACAATATTAAACAAATCGTTTTAAACAACCAGAGCGTCCTAAGCCTTTTATAAACACAGCGCTTCCAGCAATCGGATCTCCCGAGTGCAGTGAAACACAGCCTTTCCAGCAATCCGAGTTCCAGCGCGCTTTAACACGTAACGTTTGCGAGCTTCGATTGCTGAACACGTTTTGTGTCGCAGCGTTCTGTTGCAGTGTTCCACAATTTCGTTGATTTAAAACATGTGCCGTTTATTTAGTAGTTGGTTTGTCTTGGTATCCGATACAAGACTCCTTGCGTAAGGTCACCACAAAAACGAGACAATGTGTAAGTCCGCCACAGAAGGACATCTTTTTGTAATGCCGTCGCAATAAGACATCATTTCGTCAGGTCGCCACAAAAAGGGGCATCCTGTTGTAAGGCCGCCACAGCAGGACATTCTTCTGCAATATATGCCAAACGGACATCCTTTTGTAAGGCCGCCATAAGAAAGACATCCATGTCTAAGGCCGCTATCCAAGGGCATCCTTCCGCAAGGCTGTCGCACATATAATCCCTTTCGCAAGGGCCACAGAGGAACACATGTTGTGCAAGTGTGCAACACAATACTTTCTTGTGTAAGGCCGCCACAAAGGGACATCCTTTTAGATGGCCGCCACAATATGACATCCTTCTGTAAGGATGACATACAAGGACGTCATGTTGGAAGGCCATTGCGCGAGGACATCCTCTTGTAAGGCTGTAGCAAACATTTCCTTCTTGCCAGGTCCACCAAGAGAAGAGTATGGAAATCCGTTGCGCAAGAATTCCTTGTGTAAGGCCGCCACGAAAGGAGCCCTTTGTAAGGCTACCGGGCAAGAGAACACTGTCATACGGTTGCTCAGAAGAGTACCCTCTTGTGAGGCTGCCACAAAAGGGCATATTCTTGTACGGCCGCCTCAACAAGGACTCCTTTTCTACTGCGGTCACCACCCGACATCGTCTCGTAAGGCCATCACGAAGATAATCGTGTATGTAAGACTGCCACGAAACATAACTTGTTATGTAAGACCGCCACACAGAGAACCCTTCTGCACGACCACCGCAGAACAATCCGTGCTCACGGCCGCCATAAGTTTTAATATCTTGTAATGCCGCCGCAAAACATATACTGGCGAAGGACCCAGCCGTATGCAGTTGTGGATACCGCAAATGTAAATATCTTCTTCGGTGAAGCTTCCTAGCGCATGCGGGCGGTAGAACTGGGGACGTCGGTGCACTGGGGCCGTCGGTGGAGCTCCCTGTGGGGCCACGAAGCGCTGTACTTGGTGGGTGAACATATCAAATCGGGTGTGTGGGACGCATGCGGGCGGTCCCATTGGTGGCTTCGGTGAAGCTCCCTATGGGGCCACAAAGCGCTGTAGTGGGTGGGTGAAACTGCCAAATTTGATGTTTCGGGGCGCATGCGGACGGTGGCGCTGGGGCCTTCGGTGGAGCCCCCTATGGGGCCACCAAGCGCTGTACTGGGTAGGTGAAACTGCCAAATTTGATGTTTCGGGGCGCACGCGGACGGTGGCACTGTGGCCTTCGGTGGAGCTCCCTATGGGTCCACGCAGCGCTGTGCTGGGAGGGTGAAACTGCCAAATTGGAGGCTTCGGGGCGCATGCGGACGGTGGCACTGGGGCCTTCGGTGGAGCTCCCTATGGAGCCGCGAAGCGGTGTAGTGGGTTCGGGCGCATGCGGACGGTGGCACTGGGGCCTTCGGTGGAGCCACCTGTGGGGCCACGGCATGGTGTAGTTGGTGGGTGAATATGCCAAATTGGATGTTTCGGGGCGCATGCGGACGGTGGCACTGGGGCCTTCGGTGGAGCTCCCTATGGGGCCACGCAGCGCTGTACTGGGTGGGTGAAGCTGCCAAATTGGATGTTTCGGGGCGCATGCGGACGGTGGCACTGGGGCCTTCGGTGAAGCTCCCTATGGGGCCACAAAGCGCTGTAGTGGGTGGGTGAAACTGCCAAATTTGATGTTTCGGGGCGCATGCGGACGGTGGCGCTGGGGCCTTCGGTGGAGCCCCCTATGGGGCCACCAAGCGCTGTACTGGGTAGGTGAAACTGCCAAATTTGATGTTTCGGTGCGCATGCGGACGGTGGCACTGAGGCCTTCGGTGGAGCTCCCTATGGGTCCACGCAGCGCTGTACTGGGAGGGTGAAACTGCCAAATTGGATGCTTCGGGGCGCATGCGGGCGGTGGCACTGGGGCCTTCGGTGGAGCTCCCTATGGGGCCACGAAGCGGTGTAGTGGGTTCGGGCGCATGCGGACGGTGGCACTGAGGTCTTCGGTGGGGCTCCCTATGGGGCCACGGCGCGGTGTAGTTGGTGGGTGGAGCTGCCGAATTGGATGTTTCGGGGCGCATGCGGACGGTGGCACTGGGGTCTTCGGTGGAGCCCCCTGTGGGGCCACGGCACGGTGTAGTTGGTGGGTGAAGCTGCCAAATTTGATGTTTCGGGGCGCATGCGGATGGTGGCGCTGGGACCTTCGGTGGAGCCCCCTCATGGGGCCACCAAGCGCTGTACTGGGTAGGTGAAAATGCCAACTTTGATGTTGCGGGGCGCATGCGGACTGTGGCACTGGGGCCTTCGGTGGGGCTCCCAATGGGGCCAGCAAACGCTGCAATGGGTGGGTGAGGTTGCCAACGCTGATGTTTCGGGACGCATGCGGGCGGTGGCAATGGGGTCTTCGGTGGAGCTCCCGATGGGTCCACGCAGCGCTGAACTGGGTGGTTCGGGGCGCATGCGGGCGGTGGCACTGGCGCTTTCGGTCGAGCTCCCTGTGGGGCCACGAAACGCTGTACTGGTGGGTGATCCGCAGGGAGGAGGGGGGAGGGGGAGGAGTGGGAGGGGGGAGGGAGGGAGGGAGTGAGGAACGCAGGGCGCTGCCTCTTCAAAACGAGGACCCAACACCACAGGATGGTTGGGAAATAATGTTGCGAGGCCGCTTCAATAATAACATGCTTAGGTTTAATTGATACTGGCCAGTGCGGAGGTGATTCTACTGCAACGCAAGTGCGAGACACGGTTATCCTTTTGTAAGGCCGCCACCATACAGGAATCTTCCTCTCACGCCGCCACAGCACGAACACCCTTTTGCAAGGCCGCCATGCAGAAGCGTTCAAGACCGTCAAGCGGACACTTGTTGTAAGGCCGCCACCCAACTAGGAATTTATTTCTAACGCCGCCACAGCACGAAGATCTTTTTGCAAGACTGCCATGCAGAAGCGTTGTCGCAAGGCCGCCGCACCAGGAACTATTATGTACGGCCGCCAAGCGAACGTCCCCCCCCCGTTCTTTTTTTTGCAAGGCCGTCGCAAACCATGTTTCCGTAGTTTGTTTTCCAAATTGGTTGATTGGTTTGTGTTCTGTTGGGTTGTCCTCCTTGCGTTTGCTCGTTCTTCTCTCCCTCCTCTCCCGCGTTGTCCTCATCCTCATCTTCCTTAGCATCCACCATCTTTTCACGCACCTCGCGATCTCCTCCTGCCCCGTTCTCTCCCGCCTTTCTGTTTTGACGGTCATCCTCTCCCACCTCTTCCTTACCCTTCTCCCCCTTTGTCCTCCTTCGCACAGTGAGCATCATCGCTATCATCGTCTTCCTCGTCGTCTTCCTCCTTTGTCATGGTCCTCATTGGGTTCTGTGTCGCCCTTCCCCACCGAGAAAACGACATACGCATGATGTTTTTCAGGGTGGGTGGCGATCAGAATGAAGATTACTGTGACAGTGCAGGAATAACATTATTGTACTCTTCACCATCCCCCTCGTCCCCATCAAGTTCGTCGTCGTTGTTCTCTTCCTCCTCCTCCGCAACCTCGGGTGAAGAGGGGGTGCACATAACGACTGGGCCTTCCAGCTCTTCGGCACTATCTGCCCCCCCCCGCCTTCCTTGCTGCACGCGCCTTTTCTTTCTGCACGACTCCACGATGGAAGACGACGCGCGACGAGGATGAGGGGTGATAGGAGGAGACGGTGGAACGAAGATGGCGATGAAGAGAAAGAGGGATATGCGGAGCCGATCCCTTGTCACCCCCACCCCCATCCGCCTCCTCCACCCCTTCCTCATCCTCCGACCAATGCTTTGTGAGAGGACGGGGAAGAGGAACTGGATATGGAGACGGGGAATGGGGAGGACGAGCTATGAGAGCAAGGTATGGATGCTAATGGAAAGGAATTGTGGAAGAGGGGGCAGGGGGAGAATGCTGATAACGGGGGAGGGCCAGGATGGGATTGACTTTCTCCTTATATTCTCCTTCGTTGTATCTCTCATCGTTTATCCTATGATGATGAGGTATGTGGAGATGGAAGGAGGGGTGGAGGGGTGCATCATGCTCCTCGTCCGTCGCGTATCATCTCGGATTTCTTCTGCAGCATATCCTCCATGCAATGATCGGCCTCCTCTCTGTGTTTCTTTCCGTCTCAGTCCCATCATCGTCACCATCACCAACGCCACCATCATCATCATCATCATCATCATCATCATCATTATCATCATCATCATCATCATCATCATCATCAGCATCATCATCATCATCAACATCATCATCATCAACATCATCATCAGCAGCATCATCATCATCATCACCATCATCCTCACCACCATCATCACATCATCACCATCATCAGCATCACCAGCATCTCAATCATCACATCATCATCATCGCCCGCTTCCTCCCTACCACTCGCGCTCACCGCAGACGGTATCGCAAACGCACCCTTCTGTCCCCAGAAGAGTAAACAACTGTCGAGGATGGAGGAGTAGGAGACTGACATCAATTCGAACCCCCGTTTTTCAGATTCGCCACACGATTGAATTCCGCATATTCCTAGTCCTTCCTCATCCCCATCTCCATTCTCATCGCCGTCGTCACCATCATCCTCGTCATTGCCGTCATCCATTCTCTTCCCCTTCGTTGCGTTCGCCCGGTTTCTATTTCCCTCCACGACGGGGAGTCGGCGTAGTCATGATGGGGGGATTTGGAGAATGAGTGAGGAGGGTGCGTACGGAGAAGGCGTCTTCACCTCTTCGTCTCCATCCTGCGCATTCGCATCAATACTCCACATCAGTTCCGTCTCCTCCAGAAAATGATATACGTCGATGGCGGGATAATCTGATAATGACGGGGATGCGGTGCAAGAGGAAGAAGTCTTGCCCGTGGGTTGGCAACCTGTGAGCGTCGGCCTGACGCACGCATCTCACGCGCCCTACCTTACTACAGCAGTGAAGTATACATCATGGAATGGTAGCAACACTAACCACACATTCGTAAGTTCCAGGGCACTTGGGGAAGGATGAGGAGGAAGGAACAATGGGGAGGAGGAGGGAGTAGGAGGGAGGAGGAGGGGAGGCGAGAGGAGGGTGGGGGAAGGATGAGGAGAATGGGGGGAGCATGAGGAGGAGACATGCGGGTGGTGGAAGCACGCGGGTGAAACCAGAGGGTTGGGGAGCCAGGTGGGGCGAGCTCTCGCCCAGCACGAGGCAATGGCCCTCGTCACCGCCGCGCGAGCGCGTCCAGCTGCGACGCTGACCTCCCGCGCTGCGGCCGCGGTGACCTGGTGGAGAGGACTGTGGCGCGCTCGGCCGCGCGCGAGGAGGGTGGGGGGAGGATGAAGATGAGAAGCGGGGGGGTGGGGGATGGGAGACGGGTGGCGCCAGATGCGCCGCAAGGGGGATCCATCGTCGATCCAAGGGGCCCGCGCGGACCTCCGGAAGTTTGTGCTGAGGCATCCGTCTCTTCTCTGTCTCGGTAAAGATAGAACCCTGTGCCAGCCTGGATCTGAGGGGGGGCTTCTCGATTGTATTCCTTGCCCTTTTCCGGCTTTTCACTACACGCCCCCTCGCCGCAATGTCGCTGTCCTCCTCGTCGTTCGTCTTTCGCTTCCTCCCTGTTTTCATATATGATTTCTCCTTCTATTTATTTTTTCCCGCCTCGGCGTCCAGGGGCGGGGTGATATTCTGGATCTGAATAAGATCGCACCCACTCGACCCCACACAACCCCGTGAAAGCGCCAGCAGTTGCCCAGCTGACAGCGCCCATGGCGAGGGTGCGTCTAGGGAGGGATAATTCGATTCGAAATAAGACCCTACTCCTGTCGACCTGCCAGGAGCTTCCGAAGGTGCCGAAGGTTGAACAGGTGGCAACGGCCAGGGAGGGATGTCAATAGTTTGATTCGAATGGGACCTCGCTCCGCTGGACCTCCCAGGGCCACCCCCCAAAATGCCAGCAATTGTGCAGTCGGCAGGGCCTATGGCGGAGGGTAATACTTCTGATCAGAAGAGGACCGCATTCCACTGGACCCCCCACAAGCTCACGGAAGTGCCGACCGACAGTTGCGCAGTTGACAGCGCGCAGGGTGGAGGGTAAGAATTCAGATCAGAACGAAACTCACCCGCTGGACCCGCCAGGGGCTTCCGAAAGTGTCGACGGTTCCGCAGGACAACCAAAGAGCATGCAGTTATGCGGTATGCAGCCCAGGGAGGGTAATAGCTTGGATCTGCGTAGAACCGCACCCTGCTGTATTCCAAGAAGCTTCCGAACGTGCGCGCAGCTGCGGAGTTGGCAGCGCCCGGGGGGGGGTACTCTTTAATCCGACTCGGACCGCGCTCCGCAGGACCACCGTGGAGCTCACGAAAGTACCGACAGTTGCGTGGTTTTCAGTGCCCAGGGAGGGAGGTAACATGTCTAATCTTCACACCACTGGACCCCCCTGGTTTCAAAAAGAGTCGACAGCTGCGCAGTTGGCAGCATCAGCCACCTCCCAGGAGGGGAGGTTGGCGACATGCAGGAGGCAAGAGCAGGGAGGGAGCAGAAGGAGGCAGCGGGAGGAGAGGAGCATGAACGTTGCATTCAACACGAGCACCCAATCAGAGAAGGGCTGAGAGAACCCTGAGATCTGAACCTACCTACCGTAATCAACCGGAGATCCGACGATGCGAGTCACAAACATCACGACTGGAACTCCAGAACTCATCTTTCTGTGGCCTCTTTCGACCAGGATCGATCTGGACCGCCAGGTGTCAACAAAACGCAACGTGCGGATCCTGGCGCCGCCGGCCGTCGCCATGGTTGCCGTTGTCGCTGGTCGCGGGCCGCCGACGTCGGCGTTCTGGAGGCGCCGTCCGCCGTCGTGGTCTTGCAACGTGGGCGGCGTCGTCGTTTTCGTCGTCGTCGTCGTCGTCGTCGTCGTCGTCGTCGTCGTCGTCCGGGCCCGCGACCCCGTGCGCTCGGGCGCGGGTTGGCGGTCGTGGAGATCTACCGGGGGCGGGTCCTCGACCTCCTCTCGCCGGACTACCCGCATGCCCCGGCGAGCTCCGAGCGCCCGGGCAAGGCGCCAAGGAGGAGGAGGAGTGGGAGGGAGGGAGGGAAAACATGTTTCTGCTGCTGCTGCTGATGATGAGTATGATGATGAGGACGATGATGAGGATGATGAGGATTATGCTGTTTTTGATGATGACGGCGATGCTGATGATGATGATTCTGGTAATTATGACGATGATGAAGATGATGATGCTGTTGGTGATGATGGTTCTGATGGTGAATGTGGCGGTGATGATGGTAGTGATGATGATGATGAGGAGGAGGAGGAGAAGGACGAGGATGCGACTGTAGACTATGGTAGGATTTGTTTGTTTTTTGTTTCTTTCTCTCTCTCTCTCTCTTTCTCTTTGTGTCTTCTTCCTTCTAATGGTTTGTGCCAGTATATGCAATATTTGTAGATACATATTGATGAATGATGTATGTTTGCTTGGGGAGCTCCTCGAGTCCCAACAGACACCAGACGTCTGATGATAACACCGAGTTGAAGGCATCTTATGTTGAGAATAGTAATACGAATAAGACTGCTAATCTGAATGCTAGTACTACTAGTAATGCTACCACTACTAATGATGATCATCATCATCGTCGTCTTCATCATCATCAGCAGCATCATTCTCATTATCATTATCATTGCCAGTCGCATCATCATTACCATCACCGTTATCAGTATCATTATCATGTTCATTGCCGTTTTTTAGCATTATCATTATCAACAGCATCATCATATCAATATGAATAATAGCAATGATGATGCTGAGGAGGAGGAGGAGGAGGAGCAGGCGGAGGAGGAGGAGGAGGAGGAGGAGGAGGAGAGAAGCCGAGGCTGAGGCTGACGGCTGCCCGAACCACCTCCCATAATACCATGTCGTGGCTCTCAATATCGACTTCGACCCCGAGCAGAGCTCTGCTCACGCTGTTTACTGCTGCCCCTCCCACGTACACGCTCGGGGGATTTTATCCCAACGCCGGTCCACAGGCCAACGCCGGCTTGCAGGTGGTCGTTCGTTTGTAAGGGCGAGGCGATGTGGGTTTGCACCACGCAGCTTGCGCGACCTACTCAGCTTACACAGTATACTTTGGTCCACATGGAGCTCAGCCCGAATCATTACATATCAAGCAAGTTGTGAGGATGTCTCAAGCGAGCCGCGTCCAAACCAGGCCAAGCCAGGCAAGTCGTAAGGACGTCTCAGGCGAAACCACTCCCAGACCACGCCCATATAGGCAAACGGGAAGGAAGCGTCAGTGAAACCGTGCCCAAATCAAGCCAAACTCGGCAAATAGCGAGGACGTCCCAGGTGACACTGCGCCGAAGCCAAGCCAAACCAGGCAACCTGCGAGGACGTTTCAGGTAAAACCGGCGCCAATCAGGCCAAACCAGGGCCCAAACCATGCACACATTTTGGGGATGTCTCTGGCGGGGTGCCCTGCCAAACCAGGCCAAATCAAGCCACAGCAGGCCGAACCAAAGGCCAAACCAGTTGCCAGACCAGGCAGATTCCGAGGATGTCCTGAGCCAAACGCCCCAAACCTGACCTGGCTCTACCCACGTTCCTGAACAAGATTGACCAAGGGCCCAAGGGGCTCCCACCGAAGAGGGTCCTCTAAACAAACTGTTGTGGGGTGGGTGGGGCGCAACAGACTGCATTGTTCGGGTATTGCTGCGGCGTTCAGAGCAACATCCCCTATTCCGTAGACACCGGGAGGTGCCCGCGCCTTCCGTTGCAAGGCGGCAGAGGAGGAGGAGGAGGGGGAGGAGGAGGAAGAGGAGGAGGAGGAGGAGGAGGAGAGGAGGAGGAGGAGGATACGGATGATGACAATGATAATCATCATGATGATGACGACGGCGATGATGATGATCATTATCATGATGATGCTGATGCTGCTGCTACTGATAATGATGAGGACGACGACGATGATGAAGACGATGATGATGCTTGTGATGATGACGACCATGATGTGATGATGATGATGATGATGATGATGATGATGTTGATATTGATGATGATGATCATCATGATCAGGATCGGGATGATAATGGCAGTGATGATGCTGCTGATGGTAGTCATGATGATGATGATGATGTGGAGGATGAGGCCGATGTTGTTGATGAGGAGGAGGATGCTGATGATGATTATGAGGATGAAGATGATCATGGTGATGATGCTGATTCTGATGATGAGGATTGTGGTGATGATGATGCTGATGATGATGATGATGATGATGATGATGTGGATTATGATGATGATGATGATGATGATGATGATGATGATGATGATGATGCTGTGGCTGTTTATGATGATGCTGATGCTGGTGACGGGGATGATGATGATGGTGATGATGATGACGATGATGATGATGATGATGATGATGATGATGATGATGGTGATGATGATGACGATGATGACGCTGATGATGATGATGATGATGATGATGAGGATGATGATGACAAGTCTGATGATGCTGCTGCTGATGATTCTACTGGCGAGGATGCTTCGGATGGTGCTTCTGATGCTACTGATGATGAGGCTGATGTTGATTAGGATCATGATCATGATGATGCTGTTGTTGTTGATGGTGATGATGATGACGACGATGATGATGATGCGGATGCTGACTATGATGACGGCGACTCTGATGATGTTGCTGCTGCTGATAATTATGATGCTACTGACGCTGATGCTTCTGATGAGCAGGCGGATGCAGATGAGGATGTTGATGAGGAGGAGTATGTTGATGATGCTGATGCTGATGCTGATGAGGATGGCCACTCTGATGATGCTGCTGACGATGAGGCTTCAGACGATGTTATTCTGATAATGAAACTGCATATGATGCTGTTTATGCTAGCAATGTCGATGCTTATCATTTTGATGATGGTGCTGATGTCGACGATGATTCTGATGGTGATCGTGATGCTGCGGGTAACGATGATGATGCTGATGAGGAGGATGATGCTGATGATCTTGATGCTGATACGGCTGGCGACTCTGATGATGCTGCTCATGACGATGATGCTACCTATCCTGGTGATGCCGATGATGATACTGCTGATGATGATGAGGATGCTACTGCTGCGTACGATGATTTTGGTGATGGCGATGATGCGGGTGCCGAGGCGGATGCTGCTGATGATGTGAAGGTGATGATGCTGATGAGTCTGATTCTGATGATGGGGATGCTTATGGTGACGCTGATGATGCTGCTGATGGTGATA